ACTTATTAAAATACTTGCATTTATTGCGCACTATTGGACAACTGCCAAAGTTGCTATAGAATATCAGTACTGTATTACTATAAGACTGTTCCATACTAAGTAGACATAACATCTATTAGTAATAGTGAGAGCTTATCTATAAGATAGAAGAAAACGCACTGCATGGCGATCCCAAAGTATACTATTTACAACGAGATCGAGTAACCATAAAAATACCATCAACAGACGTTGGTTGAACACCTACGTCATGATTATACTTACCAGGAGCCTGATCATGACAGCGTCGTTATCATAGTCAGTTTTCATATCTGATTGTGTATCAATGGTGATGTTACCTTTTTTGACATGCTGCGTGTAGTGTGATGTTTTGCGTAATTATATGGAGTATTGCATGATTTTTTTAATTTTTTATTGGCTGATTTTATTTCGGAATTGATTCTGGTTCCATTATCAATTGATGGGTGTTTTTTTGAGTTTGAAGAGGGTGAAGAGGCGAAGAATTTATTAGTAATGCTGGAGAGTAATGAAGTGTTTTCTTCTTGAGAAGAAGACATAATTGAAGTGGGAACGAACAGAAAAGTAGATATATGTATTTATTTTTTGTTTATATTTATATAGTTTTGTGATTTTTTTGTAAGTTTTATAAAAAGGATAGCAATTTGCAATAAATAATAGAAGTGTAAAGAAATTGAAAAAAAAGGAGGATTGTAAAGAAAATTAATATTAAATTGAAGCTAGAGCTGAGAAGAAAGTGTTGGAGTAATAAAGAATATGTATAAAAACTCTTAATTATGAACTTGGAGACTTTTTGCAACTTGGAGTTTTGCTCCACCTGTGGATTAGGAATCTATAGGGAAGAGATGTGAAAAGAGTTATTGTTTTAATTATTATTATTATTATTATTATTATTATTTTAGTTATAATTATTTTAATTATAGTTAGTTTTATTAGAATTATTAATTTTTTTGGAGTAGCAATCTTTCTTGAAATGATCAAGTTTTTTATAATTATAATATTTTACTGAACATTTATTATTATTATTATTATTATTATTGTTATTATTTTTTTTATAATTATTCTAATTATTATTAGAATTGTTAGAATTAGAATTTCTTTCTTTTAATTAAACTTTTAATTCTTTCAATTATTTAATCAATTTGTTAACTTTATTCTCAATTTGTATTTGTGATAAAAATGAAATAATTATAAGACTTAGTACAGTTAATATACTATATTGAGATATAATATTTATTTGAATATATTATTAGAAATTTATATTATAAAGTTAAATTATAATCAAATTTCTTTATAGTCATCACTCTTAGAAAAGCAAAATTTGATAACTATAGAGATAATGTGACTATAAACAAGTGTAAATATAGAGAAGTTTGATTATATATTAATAACATCTTCTAAAATTACAGATTTTATTAGATTGATAAAAAAGCAAATTTCTGATTTAAATTCATCTATAAATTGAAATACTTATAAATAAACTAAATAGTTATTATTCAGATTTATTTAATATAAGAGTTCTCTTATAGTAATAATATATTATTCTATACTTTTATTAAATAATTGCTTTCTTTTTTTTAATTATTTTTGTCATTCATAAACTCTATTTTGAGTTCTAAATTGTAATTTGAATTAATATATAAATAAAGCAAGTAGATTATTAGTAGTTTAATTAACTAAATTCTATTATATAGATTAGTTTGCAATTATTCTTTTATTAATAAACCAAATAATAGTAACTTTTTTTAAATAAGCTTCAACTATTTGTATTTTTCTATTATTACTAATTATATTGACTTGACATGCATTTTCAAAGTCTTGTAATTATTCAATTAGATCTTAGATATTTCTATAAAAATTAGTTATTTTTGCACATTTGACTTCTTTATTATCTTGTTCTATAATATTTATTGAGATATTTAATTTGATAATTAAGTTTTCAAATTGATTAGTAATTTTTATTTTACTATTTTGTATTTTCTTCTGGTTAATCTTTTTCTTAATCTTCTTCTAGAAATTTTTCTTGTTGAATTTCTTCTTTTTCAAATTCTTGTATTTTTGAATTTGAATAATTATTAATATTTTTTCTTTTTAGTGTTGGAAGATAATACTAATTATTATCTGGCTGATTTAGTTACTTGACCAAAATATTTTGAAATGATATTTACTTTGTTGAATTTTTCTAGATTAAAGTCTTTAACAGTTTTAATAAATTCTTTATATTTTTCTTCAGTAGATAATTCTCTTAGACTAAAGATTTTTATTGGTATTCTTTTTTGTTATTTTTTCTTAAATATTCTTCTCTTTATTAATGAAATTAATAAATTTCTTATTAAATGTGATATAAGAAAGTTTGAACTTCTAATTCAGTTAATTCAGTTTTTGCTTTTAATAATTTGCAAATACTTTTTTTACTATAGTTAATATATTTTATAAATTGCTTCTTTATAAAATATCTTGAAGTTATTAAAAATAACCTTGAGATTTTTATTAAAATATTAATATTCCAGTAACTATCTCTTGGAATATTCTTCTAACTTCAGTATTAGTTAATTTGTGTAATTCAGATTGAAAAAAATTTGCTTGTTGATAGTTTATTTGTTCTTTTACAGAGGATTCTTAATTTAATTCTGATTTTTTTGATGCAATATTTCATTTATCTACAGAAAATTCTCTGTTCAAATAGAATTTTGATAGTATTTTTATAGACTTTAAGTTATTTACATGTTATTTACATGTTATTCACATGTTTTTATTAATTAAAAAATATATAAAACTAAGTTTTTATGATGAAAGAGACTAAAAACTATTATTAAAAGTAGATAATATATATTATTATTGTGATAAGCTAGAATAATATTCAATAACTTTACTAAGTTTTATGTATTTATTTTAAAACTTTAAAAGTTATAATACAAATAAGTTTATCAAGTAATTGTTTTTCAAGTCAAAAATAATAATTTATTATAAGCAATCTATCTTTCAAAATCAAAAACCAATATAAATATATCTTTACAAGTTACCTAAAATTTCTATCAAACAAGAAACTTCTTGAGTTATTAATTATTTTAATCTAAATTAAAATACATGATATATTTATATAAATTATATATTATATAATATATAATATAACTAGTTCTATTATTATTGTTACTAATTTGATTGAACACAAGTATTATTAGTATTTCTAATATTAATACAAGTATTATTAGTATTGCTAATATTACTAGTATTGTTGATATTGCTAATATTACTAGTGTTAATACAAATTTAAGAACTAATAATATCTAAGATAAAATTATCTAATAAAATAATAACTAATTAAAAATAATTATCCAATAAAAATATTAATAAATATAGTTCAATAATAATTGATATTTTTATTATCTAATGAAATTGTTTGTCAAATATTATATCATAATAGTATCTTAGCTAGTAATTTAGATAGATTTTATAGTTTTCAAAATTTCAAGAATAATAAATTACAATTAAAAACATGTAATAAATTAATAATAATTTTGTCTAATAATAAAATTATATTTTATTATTATTAAATTATGATCTTATAATAAAATTATATTTTATTATTATTAAATTATAATCTTATATATTTATTATATAAAATTCTTAATTAAACATTTTTATTAAAAAGTTCAGATCTTATTTTAGTTAATTATATTATAAACATATTGTTATCTTTCTTTAAATTTGTTATAATTATAGTTTAATGCTTAATATATTATATAGATTTAATTATATTATACTTATTCATCTATAATTCTTAATAAACTTTATTAAAATTACTCTGATTAAGTAACTTATTATAATATTATTAAGCACTCTTTAGCTCTCTCCAGAACTTATAAAATATGATAATAACATGCTCTTTTTTCACCTTTTTAAATATCAAGTTGCTTTTTTGGCTGATTTAAAATTCTAATATTAATTTGATAAAAAATATTTGGTCATATATTGAGATTAAAATTTGTCAACATGATTTATAATTCTTAATTATTGCATAATTAGAACAATAAATAAAGAAAAAATGAAATATAGTATCTATAAATCATTATTATAATCTGATTAAATCTATACTATATCAGATTCAAGTTGTTTTTGTAACAAATAAGAATTAAGTAAAGTATTGAACTGTATTTTAATAAAATAAATAAAAAATAAAGTTTAAAAATTAGTTATTTTATAAAATGCAAAAATATTCAATACTTTTTATATTTTTCTATATTAAGTAATCAATTATTAATTTTATAGTATCATAATTTTAAGTGCTTTAATTATTAGTTTACTATATTTATATATTGGATTATCTTTTAATACATAATTAAAAATTATCACAAAAAATATTTTACATAATTATTTTCTTATTATTATTTTAATAGTATTTGTTAAGAATTCAGTCATTATTATGAAAAATAATTTGTTTAATATTTTTTTCAAATTCTAATAAAATATCCAACAATAATAATTTTTCATTAACTGATTTTCACAAATATCTTAATTGTAAGTTTGATTGAATTATTTAAGAAATTATTTTAATATTAAGAATTTTAAATAATAATGCATTATCACTTTTCAAATTTGTGAATTTTACTCATTCACATAATTTTTTGCTATATTATTTTTAACAAAATTATGAAGTTATTTTACTTTAAAAAAATTAATTTAGTAATAATAAATAATTTTTTTTCTTTTAATATATTTACATATACTTGTAATTCTCTTTGAAGCATCTTAAATCACTTTTTTAATACTACAGATTTTTGTATAATTATTTATTTTATTTTTATATATTTTTCTTAAGAACTAAAAAAATACTTATTTATTTTTGGCTTTTTATCAACACATATTTTTTTCAAAATATTCTTACTTATCTATTAAAAGATAAATTTTATTATTAAACAAATTTATTTAAAATAAAATATCCAACTAACTCATTATATAAAAAAATATAATTAAAATATACTCGATATTTTACATATTTAATTATTTGGTAAACAAACAAAAAAATTTTATCCAATAAAAATTAACTATTAAATAGTTGTTCAGAATATACTTTATATTAATAAATATACAAAAATAAAATTTATATCTTTTAACTTTTGATATTGTAATACTTGTTTTGATACTTCTCATAAAGTAAATTTATATAAATTATTATTATCTTTAATGCTTCAAAGATATTTATAAATTGTTCAATATTATATAAATAAGAATAAGAGAAAAAGAAAAATAGATAAAGAAAGAGAAGCAAAAAATTGATGAATATATAAATGAATAATAAAATCTAAAAATTTTTTAAAAATCATGTGTTAATTACATTATAATTTATTTAGTATAACATATATATTATTTTATTTTACAAATATTTTTAGAAAACATGACTAATACTCTCCAACTTTTAGCTATGACATACCAAAATTAAATATTTATATAATTTATAAATAATATTTCTAATATTTTGTTTTATTTTTAAATAAATAAATTTTTATTATATTTTTTATAATTAATATTATTTTTTATT